TAAAAGCTGTTTACTTAAGAAAATATTTTTCTATTTTTAATTAAATAAAAAGTTACCAAAAGTTTTATATATAATTTAAAAATCGTATACTCTACCCTTAATAGGCTTTTTAACTTAAACTATTATAAAATCTTCTTACTATAAACATTTTACTATTTACTAAAATATTAACTTCTAAAATTCTAATCTGAAACTTTATTCTATTAGAAATAAAATATTTCTGAATAATTTATTAACAATATTAAATTTAAATATTTACTATTCTCTATTTTATTTAACTCTAAACTGCTTATATTATAACTGATATAAAAATACTAAACATCTACTTTAATGTTTACTTTATTTTTACAATTTACAAAATATTTTTATCAATAAAATTACCAATATCTTAAACTTATTAAACCTCTTAAAAGCTTCATTATATACAATAATACAAATCTTTAATTCATATTGCCTTTTCTTGAATTCTACTATATATAATACAATACTTCTTCTTATTCAGAATACAATAACTCTTGACCAATATAAATAATTTCAACAAATTCTAAAAAACTAACTAACAATTTTTTTATTTCTTTATTTAACTCCCTATTTAACTAGCTTAAGTTTACTATTTATTAAATCCAAAACATCAAACAACATGAATAAGAATCAATACAAGGAGTTACTGCCTCTACTAAAAAAAAAACAATGCTTAATTACCTATTATACAACTTTTTAACTCTAATAATAATATATTCACATTTAATACTAATATAAACCAATTATTTTTAAAACTCTTTCACAAAATTTTACTATATATATCTGCTTTTACTAACTAAAACAAACCTAAGAGTTCCTTTTATTCTCTTCTGTAATTAATAATTACAATAGTTAATTTAACTAAAACAGAAAATTAAAGGTTAATATTATGCTAAATGTTATTATATATATAGCAAAAATAGTGTAGTTTAGAAATATTTTATTTATATATTCATATCCAATTAATATATTTATATATTGCTATTTTTTTTACTTAATATTATATAATAAAAAAAAAAGCCTAGGTCATCATCTCAATTTTAGAACTATTTTATTCTTGAGATAAATGTTCTAGAACCTTTTATATTCATTTTTTATAGCTGACCTAGATATTACTATAACAGAACCAATACTTGTGATCAAAATTATATTATTTAATTACTATGTCTTTGTAGAGTTTATTTGAACCTTAGCATCTACTTTACAGCATAACTCCAGTACTTTAGTATGTCTCTGCCTTTTTATTAGACTCTCAATCTAGATAGTCTGTATAGAACTATGCCTAATTTATTAGTATATTAGGTTAGCCTAATCTTTTTTTTTTAATTTATTCTAGTAGCCTAGTTGGTGTTACTTCTGAGACTTCTAACTCAGAGGTTTTGTCTATCTAGGTACTATGACTTTAGTATTCATTTTCTTAAACTAGCTTTTATAATAGTATTATTAAAGATTTGTGCTACTTTTCTATTTAGGTTTTTTTAAATAAACTTCTTGTTTCTCTATTTTAATAGATTTATATAATTACAAAAACTTATTTAGAGTTTGTACTACTATATAACCAGTTATACAGATGCTCTATAACTTGCCAATTATGTTAATATAACTACTAGCAACAGTTGTCATAATATAAATATTATATAGATAATTATCCAAATTTTTGTCTTTAAGGAATTTAAACATCTAACCTACTATTTGGAAGGTTAACAACTTATTCACTTTACTAAATTACTACATTCTAATATATATTTTATATTATTTAAATATATATATATATATATATATATATATATTTTTATTTAAGCAACCTTACTAGTCAGCTTTATTATAATTTTTTGTATACATATATATATAATTTTGTATAACTTTTGGCTCAATATTTTGTGAATACTTCTAAGAGCTTATGAGTAATCTGTCTATACTAACTGTCTAATTTTATAAGAAATTAGAATATATCAAAGGCTATATCTGACAATCAGTCTATAATATAATGTTATCAATCTGATAATATCTTTTTGTAAAAAAGTAAACAAAAATAAAAAAACTTATATATATATATAAAAATACAAAGATATAAAGGTAAATAATAAAAGATGCAATGTAAAAAATAAAAAAATAAAAAAAAAAATAAAAAAAAAAGATATATACATGACTAGCAAATATTTATAATTATAAGCCTATGTTAGGTTTTTAAAAATTATAAATTATAATAAATAGAATTAACTTTACTATTTTCTTATTTATTTAAAATATTTAACAAAAACTGTATTAAATAAAATTTTGACATGAATATAAAGAGTTAGTATAAGTTATTAGTTAGTTTGGAAGCAGTATTTTATAGAATTTTAGTAGTTTAAAACATATATATAAATTATATTTGTATTGTTATATTGTTTATACAAACCTGATTAGAAAATAACTACCATAGGTTACTGCTTATAGTATCCTCAAAAATAATATCTCTATGATTAGGATTCAGGTATTTTTTACTATATATAGCAATCTGACTGTAGGTAATACCTCAGATACTTTTCAATTTTAAATACTAAAAGAACTAATTAGTACCCAGATTCTATCTATCTTAAAAAGAAAGTATAGTATATAACTTTCTTGTTCAATACTACAAATAGATAAACAATTTATAAAATATTTATCTGATTAGCTAATTTAAATTAATTGCTTAACTAATTTATAACAAAATTTAAATTATACTTTATAAAAATATTAATATTTACTATATAATGCTATTTTACTTATAGTTATTACACTATAGTTTCTTGGATAAGATTCTTTTACTAATAAGTTTTCTAACTACTGATATTTCTTAATAACAATCTTAAGCATTAATTCTAATAATTAATTAATTAAATTATCTCTATAGTTTATATTTTAATTACTAATAATTTTATATTTTAATTCTATATTTTAATTACTGATACTTATCTATAATCTTTTGCTTCAAACCAAATAGTAATTGATAATAAGTTATATTTATAATATTTATATTATACTTAATATCTAATTTTTTTTCAAAGTTAATACACCAATATGCCATCTATAATAAACTTAAATTTAAATTAATTTTAAAACTAAATTAAATTTTAAACTAGCATCTGATGATTGTAACATCTTATATAGCTATATATTTACAAATAATAAGTCTTCTAAAAAAGTTCTTGCTAGTAGTTAAATTTTCAAACATTGTTGATTTCTCTTTGCTAATTGATGAATGATCTAAATATTTTGATATACTTGACATGCCAAAGGATAAATTGTTCACTGTTATTCCTTTTATGAAACTAATCTTTAAGAAGTTCATTAATTATAACTAACTATAATAATCTTTACAAAAATGCTGTCTTATTGATTGTAAAATTTACAACAAATAATCTAAGAATTTAATAAATGTAGTATTATAAAAAGCAAAATAAATCCTAAAAATTTATTTGAAGAGAAAAGAAATAAATAATTTTTAGTAAGGTAGCAATAACTTAATGTAAACTATAACAGATAAGTTATAAAATTAAGGTAAAGTTTTGCTTATATGATAAATTATTTACTATATGCTATTTGAGTAAGATTAGCCAATAATATTTGAATATACAAAAATGCTATAAGCACATATATATTACTTTTTTAATATATAAAGCTCATAATTAAAATTTTTATATCAAAAAAAAGATAGGTAAACCTAGTGAATTGAGTAGATTATTCATAATAGCTTCCTAAAATTCTAAGAATTGTTTATTCTAAACTATATTCTAATTGACTAATCACAAACATTAATATAAATTTTCTTCTTATTTTTATAATATTTACAAAATTCACATTCTTGACTATTTTCATTATCTTGATTACTTTCAATTTTTTGATCACTTTTATTATTTTGATCACTTTTATTATTTTGATTATTTTTATTATTTTGATCATTTTCATTACTTACATCATCACGATTTCTATCTTTTTCAATACTAATTTCTCTCTTTTTATCTAATGCTTTCTCAAAATCAAAAATTGATCTATCTTCAAAGCCATCTATCTCTGTAGAAATACTACAGCACTTAAAAAACCATTGAATTATTGCAGGGTCAATATCATTCCAAGCTTCTTTGACCCAAGTTGCTACTAAAGAGAATAATAGATATTTAATTTTGCCTAATGGCATATATTCCTTTATAGCTTTACTCATCTATTGATTATAAGCATAGTGAATCTATTTATAAAAAAATTAAGAATTTTTTTACACTAAAATCAAAATACTAATGGCTTTATTTTAAAATCTTGATAGACAAAATCTTGACAAGACAAAATCTTGACAAATTTGGCCAAATTTATCAAAAATTTTATCAAGATTTTGCCTATCAAGATTTTAAGATAGATCTAATACTAACTTTTGCCTTAAATAGTTTGTTTAAAGACACATCTAATAGTTATAAGCATGAGATTAGTCTATTTAGAATTATAGCAATATCTGTATTTTACTTACAAATGTAATGCTTTACAAGATCTATTTTATATTTAGCAAATGCATCAAGAACAAGAAGTGAACATGGATTTAAGCCCAAATTAGCTCATCAATGCCATATATTCTTCATCTATCAGATCTTTTCTTTCTTATTTATTCAACCACTTAGATTTGCATGAACATATATACCATCAGAAAACCTTTTTCAGGATATATTAACTAACTTAAAAATAATAAATGACAGAAGTTTAGTACTATCTGCAAAACAGACTAGAGTTACTATAAAACAGGTATGTTTATGGCCTTTTGTAAGAATTAAAATAGTCTTTTTTTCCAGATTTCTCAACTGTTGTTTGGTTTGCATATTAAATGCAATAGGAGTTTCATCTATATTTTCTATTAAGTTTAAAGAGTAATTATGTTCAGATTGTTGATAAAGAATAAATGATAAAAAACTTTATTGTTTTTTGATATATTTTTTAAGCAATCATTGTGTGACTGTAGTAGTGCATTGGCAGTTCACTAAAAAATGGCATAACATAAAACTATCTACCAACCTGTGAAAAAATTAACATCTATGAATATTAGAATATAAAGTATAATATTCTTGTTTGTTAGCTAAACTGTAAGCTTTTACTTCAATTATAAACCTGGTTACTGTCTTTAGTTGACTTTACAACTTACAAAACCATTCTAAAAGTTTATTCTTAAGCTGTGAGTATTTAGGTCATGCATCAGTATTAAGTCTTTAAATATAAGATGCTATATACATTAAGTTACTTTTTTTGTTTTTCTAGTTATAAACTTGCTTTGATTTGATTTCAAATTTATTTGCTGTTGCTTAAATATTATACTCATTTTTTTGATAAAGCACAACCATCAACTTTTCATGAATATTTCAATACTAACATTGTTTTGCATAATTCTTGCTCTTTGTTTACCAAAATTCTCCTTTGGCATTTTTAAGAGACTTAATTATAATGATTTATAGATATTTAATAAATAACATGAAAAAAAATTCTAAAATTAAAATTTTCATGATATTTTTTTTTATATAATCACAAAATAAACTTGAAAGCACAAAATCTGCCTTACTATCACATAAAAGTTATTTTATAAGAATTGTTGATTTTTACTTCACATTTATCATACTAATTAATATAATCCAATTTTATATTTATAAATGCTTCTGTCTTAAGGTAAAATGCAAAGTAAAATGCATTATTCAATTTTTTAATAAGCTATTTAAGTTTGCAGGCCCTTTCTTCATATCTGTTCATTATGTGATAAGTTTCATCTTGATACAAATATATTATTTAGTTCGATCTCTAAAATTTGGTAGATATTTTATAATATTTTTTTTTATTTTGTAATGAGCTTCCTTTGATAAAATAGTTTATTTTAAAATTATTTAAATCTGCAAGCATATTTTCATATATTTTCATTATATAATTGTTCTTTGATTAAATTTATTACTTGATTTGAAATTTGTTCAAGCCTACAAATACTTCTTCTTGAAAATTATATATATATATATATTTTTTTTTCCTATTTATATTTATTGAAATCATATAACTATTATTAGCCAAATATCTAATATCAGAACTAGGCTCAACATTTCTGTAATGTTGAAGAATGATAAACATGCATTAGTTATACAAAATGTATTAATAAGGTCTTTTCATATTTATATATACAAAAGAGACAAAGAGTTATAGAGTTTTACTATATATGGCTTTTGAAATTTTAAGTAGGAATTGTTTGGAAAAGCATCAGATATTGAGTAATTATATGAAAAATTTCTTTAATAGAGATTAGGTTTCTTAATATAAACATAATAATGTTTACTATTACTATAGAAATTAGTGAAGGCACAACTTTATATAAATCTGATAATTCTGAGAACTGATTATTAACTCTAAAACTTCATATACTTAAGTATTAAGTTTACTTATCTTTATCTATTTTTAATAAACTAATATTCAATATAATAGTTATAGTATAATACTTGACTCTGTGCAATTGTTTTAATACTATATAAAATAAATATAAAGCATTCCAAATTTAGCTTTTATTTTGCATATACTGATATATATTTGTATAAAAAAAATAATGAATAAAAAGCTCTCAACATTATAATCCCATATTATAAATATTATATACCTTAAACATTGACTACAAGATTTTGTATAATTAATAATAAGTAACTTTAATGTAGACTATAAGTGAACTAATCTAAGAAAAAAAAAGCTCAACATCATAAAATTGCTTATATATTGTAATCTATAATTTAATATAACTGTATTATGTATTATTATCTTGGTTTCTTTTTAAATAACTAGCTACATGTTTTTAAGCTATTTGGAAACTTTAACATTCATATTTATTGCATATTATCATTTTTTTTTTAGATTGAATTCTGTTTCTAAGTACTATAAATTTAGATAGAAAGAATCTTATAGATATATATAATACTTAAAGTTTTATTTGCAGAACACATTTTGTGATGTTTTAAATAGTAGTTATATTTTAAAAAAAATTTTATTATTATTAGTTATCACTGAAGTATAAATTGTTATATGAAATTGATCAATTATTATAGATTTATAATTATTCTTACACAAGACCCCTTGTATACAATACTCCCTAACATAGTATATTCTCCTATTTTAGTATCTAGTTCTTTATACAGTATTCCTAGGTACTATTCAATTTTAAAAATAGAGTTCTTGAATAAGGCTCTAAGTACTGTAAGTAGTGACCTATAGTACTACTGACTATTTTAATATTTTTACATATTGATCTTTTGGAAGAGATAAACTGAATCATCTATTTTTTATAAAATTTTCTTAAGAAAAAATGAAAGTATAAGGTGAATCAAACTTTAGTTTTTGTGAATGTTTAACTCTTCTAAGAATTTTTTTTAAGTTTTACAGTTATATAGAAATAATATATCTAACTTTATTGTTTATTTTATAAGAAACTTATGACTTTTACTAACTATTTCTTCTATGATTTCAGAATGCTTTTAAAATATTATCATAAAGTGATAGTTTCTTTTTCAATTCTATTTCAATACCCACTATGCATACCTAATACTCTAAAGAAGTTTTTATAAAGTTTAATATATTAACTATTATTTTTCTATAGTTCAGCTTTTTAAAAGATTTGGTCTAAATAATTATCAAAAAGAGTTTTTGAATTTTGATTTATTAATTTTATAAATTTGTTATATAAATATATTTTATATAAAAAATTACTATATTTTTTATATTTACAAGTACTTATTTAGAAATTATTCTGATAAATTTATTTTTAAATTTTGAAAAAAATTATCTTATATGTAAAATAATATAAAAAAATTTTTTTTTAATTAATAAACAAAATATAATTTACATAATAAAAAAGTTAAAAATATAATTTAAATATTATTAATAAGCTTTTTAATTTATTTTCAAAAATATGATGTATCAGAAGTGACGATACTGCCTATATATAATAATATAAATTAAACTTTTTGAAAAAAATTATTTATTTCTATTAATCAAAAGGTATATTTTTTTGTTTAACATTAACTGAAACATTTTTTTAATAAAATTGTATCAATATTTGTCAAAACCTCATCATAATTGTGTTTTGTACTATGAACAAGTTTATTTATGCCGGTTTACATAGTAAAAATCACATTTTATGCACAACGATTATTTTTTCGAAAAATGTATCAGACATTACTTTTGACTCCTACTGTACGTATAATCTATAATTTAGCTAAAAGAACTTTCTTATTTATAGTTAATTTTAAACAAAAAAAAACAATTTAAAGTTTATAATCGCTAAAAAAATGGCATTTTAATATACTATATATATTTTTATCAATCACAGTTGATTATATAAAATTAGCCAATTATAATTGATTACTTAAGTTTAAAATTTGGATTTTGGATCGAATATTCAAACTCCGTTTATGGCTTACGGGAGTTTGAATATCGGATCCCGACATAATATGGCGTTTCGGTATTTGGACTTTCGGCCCACAATCTAAAATTTGGCATTTTCAAATAAAAAAGGTGTTGGTTTATCCGCACTGTCTACAGAAACACATGACCTAATCCCCTAACGATAATGTTGGTCATGCTGTATTGATAAGATTAAGGAAGGTTGTGTCGATACTGTAGCAATTTCCTTTTTTCTCATAGATCTTTATGCCACATGATCACATAGCTTTAGACCTCTATTTTATTTTTGGACGGAATATCAAAAATGTGCAACACTGGTCTGCCTAATGCTAACGATAAACCAAGTCAAAATCCTGAAATAGTAACAATGAATTATACAAATATTGGTATCGATATGACGATAATGTTTCCACCAATATGTCTGTAAAGTTCTTCACGAAACTTTCGAGTGATTTAACAAATCTCCTCGAAACTGGAGAAGATTATGATGCATTAATTGAAGTGGGTGAAACACCGAACCATCAAATTTTTAAGGCCCATTCAATTATTTTGAATTCTCGATGTTCTTATTTTCGTGATAAATTTGTTATTCATGACAAGACGAATAATATTAAACAATTCAACAATCCACATATTTCTGTTGCTAATTTTGAAATTATTATTAGGTTATGGTTATTCTATTGTTGAATTATTTTTTCGACACAGTAAAAAAGGTTAAATATTATTCTCTTTAATTATGTAGGTATATTTATGGAGGTGTTGTTACATTTGATGAAATCGATGCACCTACACTTCTTGGTCTTTTAACAACTGCTAATGAATTTAGTCTTGAGGAGTTGACTAGTCATGTGCAATCAAAATTGGTTAAAGATAATGTTTCTTGGATGCATGAACATTTCTCTTACATTCATAAAATAAGTTTTGAGAGTGATAACTTTGAAGCTTTACAAAAGTTTTGTAATAATGTTGTTGCAAAAGATCCAATTATTCTATTTGATTCTGAGGACTTTATAACTCTTTCAGAAAATGCTTTAGTTTCTCTCTTAAAACTTGATAACTTACAAATGGATGAAGGAAAAATTTGGGATCAAGTCATCAGATGGGGATTGGCTCAAAGTCCTGATCTAGATTCTGATCCTACAAAATGGTCAGATGAAAACTTTTTAACTTTGAAAACTGTACTCAAAAATTGTTTACCCCATATCCGGTACTTTCAAATTACTGGTTATGATATCATGGATAAATTATATCCATATCATCGGGTCCTCGAACATGATTTGTGGGTTGACATTATGACAAAATTTATGACACCAGATAAGGCTATCACTTCAACCATCTTACCACCAAGAGTAATTTCTGATATTGTATTGGCACCAAAAGATGACACGACTTTAAATGGTACGTGTGATACATAAATCTATTTAAATAAAAAAAATTTACAAAGTAGATTTATATGAATACTTGTATCTATTAAACTTACACAAACGTTTGATTTAAGTACCAAAACAACAAATATATCGGAGTGCCATTTACAAAAAAACCAAGCTTCAATCATCTTCCACAGCTGTTTCACCTACAGCAGATGTTTACTCTGATAAAATCGTTCAAGCACCAAGGCATTTAAAATCTCAAAGTGTTATTTACAAAAAAAACAAGATTACATCATCTTCTACGGCTGTTTCCCCTACGTCAAAATATGCAGATGTGTCAATATCAGTACCTATTAATGCTTGTCATGATAAAACCGATTCAAATGTAGGACCTATAACATCAATCAGTATGGAACCTATTACCACTTTTCCAGACCAAGGTATGGCTAAGAAGTATAATCCAAATAAATTTAACTGCAGGCCATCGCACGTAAGCGCTAGTTTACATTAATACCTCCTTTTAACACTAACATCCTGTGAATAATTTTTAATCATTATTATTATTATAGGCACGATTTTTCATAATCAAATCTTTTAAAGAGGATATTATTTATAAATCAATAAAAGTATGTTTACGATGAAACTTTTTTACTATATAATGTGGTTTTGCTAATATGTTATGATTTTTATCGTTATTAGTATGGAACTTGGGGCAGCACAGAAATGGGTAATCGTCGTTTGGATAAAGCATTTCGTGATAATGCAGGGAAAGGCCCAATTTATTTGTTTTTTAATGTCAACTCTAGGTGAATCATATAAAATTTATTTAATTGATTGCTGATCTATTTCATTATTTATAAATATTAGAGTTTTGTTGTTCATTCGTATCTATTATTATTGAAATTTGTTCAGCGGATATTACAACGGTATGGCAGAGATGCTTACTCCAGTGGATTATACAACATATTTTAGTGCTTGGACGCAAGATAGATGGAAGGGTGTATTTAAAGTTAAATGGATTTTCGTTAAAGATATTCCCAACAAGGAAGTGAGGCATATTAATGTAACGTATGTATTGCACAATTTAGCCGTCGTGTAATTTTACCATTAATGTTCGACTAATGGTTGAACTTGAATTTCATGGGACACACACAGGAACAATGAGAATAAACCCGTAACACATAGTCGGGATACTCAGGAGCTGTTGCCTGAAGCTGGACGCGAAATGTTAAACATATTTCTCAATTATCGTAACGAAACATCGATACTCGACGATTCCAAGTTTTATGAAAAAACGTCATGCCGGAACAAAAAAGGGTGAGATTGTACCAACAAGTTCCGAGATAGTGGTTACAAATACTTATGAACCCTGGTCCGATAGTCATAGTGATGATTTACACGACTAATTGCGAAGAGCAACTGCATATAATATGTTTTGTAAGAATTTTTTCCATAACTTATACTTTTTGCCAATTACAAAATGTTTCATTGCATATGTCATAAAATTTTATTACAAATTACAAATCAAAGCTTTTAGTTCAGCACAGAACAATAAAAACATCCAATACTTTATATATATTTTACAAAAATTGGTATAACCCAAGCAATATCGGTTAACAAATTTGGGGTATTTTATTTATACTACAATTTTGTTAAAAATAAGCTGTTACTTCTTAGCTTAAAGTTTGTGTTTGAAATTGCGCACTTAACGCTAATATGGTGCGATTCATCTAAAAACATCCAAATGTTAAGGACCTTGCTGCAGAGGGCATTTGCGGAGCTCTAATTATAACGAGTAGGGATGTTAACCGGTTAAAAATGAGCGATATCGATTACAAACAAGCAGCTAACTACATGGACCTATTTTAACTAGTTGCATGAAGCTGTTTACAGAATTTATATAAACAGTTTAGTAAAACTAATTAACTGAAGTTATTGAACTAGAGAACGCCTATTTGCACCATGGAAATTTGCTATTTCCACCATGCTTTTCACACAACTTCAGTTACATGAACATGACAAACATATTGTCACGATATATATGTCCAATGGTGGATAGGCGTTTTCTTAAAACTATTTCTGCTAATCAGTAAGCATTTTGATTGGATAAAAAATTAAGGTTCTTTTTATACGTGATAGTATTTTGATTAAATACATAACTTATGTAACGGTTACAAAAAAAACAGGTTATTATTTTATGACATTAAAATGTTAGAGTATTATGATCAGTTAAAATTTAGATCAGAGTCACCGTTAATATTTAAAAACAAAAAAAAAATTTAGATCAGATGTAACATTGGGGTGTGCGGTCAACTAAGTAAATCAAAACTATTTGTAGTATCATATAAAACTTAACTATAGAATTTTTTTTTGAATTTAGTAATCGGAATAGTGATCAGATTAATTTGTCACTTTTTATTGTCTTGGGCTGCAAAAAGAAATTCAAGTTGTGCTACAAAGGCTGTTTGGATTGCTTTTTAGATATCTTCTGTTTTGACAAATATTTGTTTTTTTGTAAATATTTGATTATTTGGTAAACTTTCTTAAAAATTATTGCATTGAAATTTTTGTTAGTAATGAATCTATTATAACATTTGCTGAAGTTTTTGGTATATTAAGTCTCTGATTGCTTTGTTTATAATAGTAATTACATTTAAATTTTTGTATATTGTTAGTGCTTTTTTAAACAATTTTTCATAAGCAGCTTAATGTAAAAATATAAATTTTTTTGTTCTTATAAAAATAAAAAAGAATGCAGTATCTAGATGTCTAAATTTTACTTTAATAGAAAATGGTAATCCTAGTATAATAGTTGAGTTGTCATTCTTTAAATGGCAAGTCTAAGATTCAAATCCCATTTACAATGAAATTTAGAAATTATATCTGCATTATGGTAATTGTCTTCTGTCAATTAGTTGGCTTCATGTGGCTGTAACTCAGATACACCAAGTCAAGTCTTATCAATATTGGGAGCTTAAGACATCTATATAAAGTATAATGTTATATGTACATAGAAGAATGTATAACTAGTGTTACATAAGACTTTGGTGCAAACCTACAATAAGATCACTAGGCATAGAAGACTAAAGAACTAAGATGACAGAAACCTACTTAAAAATTTCTAAGTAAAGAGGTAACATGAACTTTCAATAGTATCATCAGACCAATTAAAGCTTATAAAACACCTTTATAGGAACTGAAGATTAAACTGAATGTTAAATATATGTAGAAGAGAGAGTGTGGTGACCTAGTGAAATGGTCAGGTTGTCAACCCTCCAAGTAATAGGTTGGGTATTCAAATGCCATCGATAGCAAAAATTTGGATAATCACCTATATAATATTCATATTATAGCAACTGTTACTAATGATTGGATTAGGATACTTGTAATGATGGTCACACCAGCATGATTGGCAGGTCATGGAGCATCTGTGCAATGTTGGAGTTACACAGAGGAATGCAAACCAACAAATCGGATGATGCAAACACTAAATAAGTTCTTGTGGCCATGTAAATCTGTTGAAATTGGGTAATAAAAGTTTATTTGAGAAAACCTAATTAGAGAGGTAGCTGGATCTTTGATGGCCCTAGAGGTCTGATTCAATGAATAATATATTCAAATATTCATTGAATATTTGAATATTCGAATAAATAAATTTTCACTGAATTGAATATTTGAATATTGAATTTATTTATCAAATAATTCATTAAATATTCAGTGAATATATATAATTAAAATTTATTTAATTGATCAATTAAAATGCAAATTTTAATATAATAGTTTTAATATATTTGTTTTATTAGTTTATAAATAAAATATTAATTTATAAATTTTTATTACTTTATTTAATATATTTTTATTTTAAATTAGTTAAATTATTGTTTAAAATATAGTAAAGATATTTA